GTTGGTGGATTGTATTGTTTAGCTCTTCTGCATCTTTGTTGAGTTTCTTTCCAGTTGTTCTATCTTTCATTGAAAGTAGTGTATTAAAGTCCCCCACTATGACTGTGGAGCATCTGTTTGACTTTTCAACTCATCAAAGTCTGATTTCTGTATTTTGGGGCTCTTTTATTGGGTCCATAGATATTTATTATTGTTATGTCTTCTTATTCAATTTATCCTTTAATCATTATATAATGTCCTTCTTTAACAGATAGACTTTAAGTGGTATTAATTTCTAAAGTGAGTTCCTATTTAATATACTGAATCCTATGCTAAACAGTAAAAAATATAAATACTAAACTTTATCATGTAAATTTTCACATTTTTGTAACCCACAAAATCATCAACTTCTGAATGAATAAAAAAATAACAATGTCTATAGATTAGGTGACATTTGATTTCTTTCTGTCCCTTGTTAGTGCAATGTATCAATAGGTGACAACTGCCAGATATGACCACCTTTGTCTCAAATGTATATTATGATTCTGTATTTATGCCACTTTTTATGTATATATACTTTTCTAATAGAAAATTCAAGATCTAGAAACTTCACTACGTGAAGCTGAAGAAAGTGCTAAGCATAAGGAAGGCATGATTATAAAGATGCAGAAAGAACTTCAGAAGACTAATGGCATGATAATAAAGCTTCAAGCAAAAGTTAATGAATCAAATAAATGCCTTGAAAAAGCAAAAGAAATTATCCAAGCACTCCAGGTAACATAAGAAACTCATTTTACAAATAAGAATTATTCTTTGCCTTTTACCTTATTGTTGGATGTGGAGGTCATTTTGGTTCAGTATTCTTCCCTTTTACCACAACTCCCTATTGCCTGTGTATGTCTGAAGTTTAATATTCAAGTTTTTCAAAAATAATCATAATAATAAAGTAAGCATCTTAAAGACCCCCCAGGTGATGTAGATGATCTGCACTTCGCTAGTAACCCAGAGGTTATCTGTTCAAACCCACCCAGTGGCACCGCAGTAGATCCACATCTGGCAAGTGGCTTCATAAAGATTATAGCCATCCTGACTCCAGAGCCTACTGAGTCTCTCCATATAAATACATAAACAAATTCCTCAACAAAACAGTAAACAACTTAGAAGTGAAATGCAAAGAATATGTTTTCATGCAAAATAATGCTTATTTTTATCTTTAGAAAAAGAATTTTTAAAACACATGCAAATTTATTTTTTATAGTTTATATGGAAATATGTATTTTCTCCATTTTTCAAGAAATGCCTGTTATATAAATATATACCAAAACCAGATTCATTGCCATCAAGTCGATTCCACCTCATTGTGACACCCTTTGGGTTTCCGAGGTGGTAAATCTTTACAGAAGTAGATTGTCCAGTCTTCCGTGGAGTGGCTGATGGGTTTGAACTGCCAGCCTTCTGGTTAGCAGTCAAATGCCTTAGGCACTATGCCACCAGAGCTCCTTATCTAAACATGTAACACTCTTTATTAGATAAATGTATTTTAAAATTGTTTTTCTTCATAAAGTCTTTGTTACTGAGCCCAACATGGTGGCCCTTGGGCTTAATATGACCTGCTTGCTTTGTAACAAAAAAAATGTCCTCATTCATCATATCCCCAACATTCTTTTGTTTTAACCTCAAACATTCTCCTATTTCTGCTACTTGACTCCAACCCTAATAGGCATTTAAGTATTCTGTTCCTGCTCTGAGGTCTCTCCATTCCAGACAAACTTAGGTACAAGTCAAGAATTCTTGTTCTTTCTGTTATGTAACATTGTTCTAAAATTCTGGTCAGTTTAATGAGAGATAAAACAGAGAGGCAAAGAGAAAAATCTTTTTTTTTTTTTTTTTAGCCAATTGTTGGTATATGTAGAAACCGAGTAAACCACCTATAAGATTTTAGAATACTTACAAGTAATTTAATGATTGTATTTTGATTCATTCAACAAATGTTTGTTGAGCAACTACTATGTATTCTAGATCCTATGTATATAGCAGTGAAAAAAAAAAAGCCCTTCCCCTGTCCTCATGGAGCTTACATTTTGGTTCAGGGAGACAGAAAATAAACCAGTAAATATGTATGTCATCTGGTGAAAAGTATAATAGGAAAAAATTGAGCCAGAAAAGGGATATACAAGTACTGAGTAAAGGTGGGGTATGTGGGGAAACAGATGTACTTTTATGCAGGGGAGATGACATTTGAGCAAAGACCTGAAGGAAGTTATGGAGTGAGCCATGTGGTGGGAAAGAATCTTCCAAGCAAAGGAAATAGCAAATGCAAAGGCCTCAAAACAGAAGGTTAGCAGTCTGAACCCACCAGCCACTCCACAGCAGGAAGACTGGGCAATCTACTTCCATAAAGATTTACCACCTGGGAAACCCAATGGAGGTTGCTATGAGTCAGAATCAACTCAGTGACAGTGAGGCTGTTACAAGGACTTTGGTTTTTATTCTGAGTGAGATAGATATCCTTTGGAAGATTTTGGCTTAAGGGTGTTACAGTAACAATTTACAGACATCTAGGGATCTAGTGTAGTAATCCTGGTGGGAGATGAGGTGCCTTAAACTTGAGTGGTAGCAGTGAAAAAAGTGGGATTCTGTGTACTTTAAAAGGTTAGACGACAAAATTTGCTGACAGATTCTGTGTATAGTATGAGAGCCAAAGATGATTCCAGAGTTTTTGTCCTGGCAACTGAAGGGATGGAGTTGCCATTTGTGGAGATGGGCAACATTGCCAGAAGAGCAGATTGGAAAGAGGTGGAGCAAAATTGGAGTTCAGTTTTTGATATGTTGACTTTGAGATGCCTATTAGACAAGGTGAGATATCACTTAGATGGAGGGATATATCAAGGAGAGGTCCAGACTGGAGTTATAAATTTGAGTAATTATCAGCAAATAGAAGTCATGAGACAGGTTGAGGTCACCGAAGGCATGAGTAAAATAGAAAAGAGGTGCATGGGGTTGCCATGAGTCAGAATCAACTCTACAACAACTCATTTTTATGCAGTAAGATAAAGATCCTGAGAAAGAACAGTCAGTGAGGAAAGAGGAGAACAGAGAGAAGTGTCCTGGTTCAAGAAAGATAGAATAAGTAACACATATCCTCAATTTTTGGTATAGATTCACACAAGTGTCTACAGAGAGAGAAATATCTTTCCTTCATACCAGGAGTAACCATTTAGAACAATATAATGGGTTTGACTTTGTATAGCATCCGTGGGGAGAGAAAGGAAAATGCTGGATGTCTAAAATCTTTGTACAGTTTGAAATTTTGAAATTTACTTCTCTATATCATATAAATCTAGGGGAAAAAAATCAACAGAGTTAATTTAAGGTTTAACTAGTGGCAAGGATATTAACTTTTCAGCTGATTCACCACTATTTGAGTACATCTAAAAGAAATTTGAAGGATCAATAATTTTGTTTAAATTCTGAATAAATTTTCTCTGTTGTATCGTTACAAATTGTTTATGTCAGATCGCAGTGAATTTGTTAAAACTTTAAACTGCACTAAAACTTTGTGGAGAACCTGTGTGATGTGAGAAAGAAGGTCTTATTTATGATGGCCATAAATCTCAAATAAAATACTTGAATGACTAACCTTCATAAAAAAAATGAGGGTTGCATATATGAAAGAAATCATAAAAGTATAAAAAGAAATGGAACATTTGATTTACAAATAAGATATATGTCATTTCCTGGGTGGGAAACCCAAATAATGTGCTTGGTGGTGTTGTGTGCTTGTATGAGAAATACCGTGTAACTATCAGTTTTTCCCAGATTACCTTCTAAATTTAATGTAATTCAAATCAGAATCTCAAAAGACTTATTTTTCTAGTGAAGCAATGAAAATTTCTTAGCAACATAGATGCAAAATAAAATACATCTAGAAGAATAAACTTAATTTGATCTATCTGGTACAATAATTATTTTAAATAATGTTATGGATGACTGATTTCTTTCTTTCATTATGTAGTGGCCAAAGGAAATGCTTGTGTCACTGATTTAACTTTCAGTGCACAGTACTCCTGATGATGCTATGTATTGCTTTGTGCTCTGATTTCAATCCTAGTTTGATATTTATGTTGTTGCTCTGGTATCTTTTTATTTCATTTTCCTGATTTACCTTGCCCACTCCTTTCATTATTTTCAAGCTTTCTGTGTCATTTTGTTTAGGTATATCACTTTTTAACTGGAAAAAATAGTATTTGTTATAAGATATGAAAATAATGTTCCCTATATATTAGCTTTAGGAGCTCTGGTAGCATAGTGCCTAAGGCATTTGACTGCTAACTAGAAGGCTGGTGGTTCAACCCCACTAGCCACTTCTCTGAAGGAAGGTTGGGCAATCTACTTCTGTAGTGGTGCCATTTTGGAAACCCAAGGAGGAGTCGCTATGAATTGGATCCGACTCGACAGCAGTGCATTTGGTTATATTAGCTTTAAATAACCTTCACAACAAATACCTAGTTATTGTTCATTTTATTATTTAAATCGATTCCTTTCCTATCTTTCATATATTTGGAGTTTTTGCTATTTTTAAATGTTCCTATTGGATCAAAGACAGTTATCCACTCTTTGCTGGAATTGAAACTATTTCAATAATTACTTTAGTTTGTTTTTTTTTTTTTTCTCTCTCTCTGAAAACTTAGGATAAAATTGCTTTAGGAGCTGAGCCCTATAAAGAAGAAATTGAAGACCTCAAAACAAAGCTGGTGAAAATAGACCTAGAGAAGATGAAAAATGCCAAGGAGTTTGAAAAGGAGTATGTCTTTGCCTAAATTTAATAGCTTAAAATTTCCTTTCTAAACTATATAAATTCTTTTCCCTTGTTAACTTTTAAAAATATATCTTGTAGAAATATTGTTACTTCTTTTTAAATCGATATATAATCTATTTTAATTTCATTAAATTCTATTACATAAACAAAGTTTTTAAAATAAGCACAATTCTGATTAATAACATGCAATGTGTTTGCATGCTACTTGCCAATTATACATAAAAAGCTTTAAAATGGAGTTTTTATGCTTGCAAAGTACATGAATGTTGAAAACCTTTGAGTGTGTATATTTAGCACTGTGACTAAGATTTGCATTATTTCTCTTAACTTTGCTCTTCCTCTTAGGTTTTTGTGTCAGGATTGTATTTCCTTTTAGATTATAGATACCTAGAGCCCAAAACCATATGCCCTATTTGTTTACTTACTTACTTACATATAGTGTTATATATAATAGCAGGCCTAAAATTCTTTGTGGTATAAGGAAAAGAATGTTAAATGGAGAGTCAGAGAAACTGAATTGGCAGTACAATGTTGCCACTTAATAATGCATCACCTTAAACTATTTAATCTATCTGGTCTTCACATTCATAATCGATAAGAGGACAGTTTTATATACAATTTCTTAAGATCCTTTCTTGTTGTCAAGTCGAGGTTTGCGGTTCAAACCTACCAGCCACTCTGTGGGAAAAAGATATGGCAGTCTACTTCCATAAAGATTACTACCTTGGAAACCCTACAGGCACCACTCTGTCCTATAGGGTTATTATGAGTCAAAATCAACTCAGCCTCAACAAATTTGGTCTGTTTGATTTTGAGATCCCTTCTGGCTACTATGTTCTTTCTGTTAAACTTTAATAAATATTTAGTAATTCTGCTAAACTTGGAAGCCATTTGTCACCCATCTAACATATGTATAGTCTTTAATAAATCTTTAAATATATATCTCAGCTAAAACCTAACTTTTGGCTAATACCAATTGGGAATAAAAGAAAAGTAGCACTCTGAATCTTCACACTGTCTAGCCACTCTTCCATTGATAAGACTGTTGGCTTTCATGAAACTTATACCTATTAAGTTCTTAATCATAGAAAGCAATTTTATTTATAGAATAAAGTCAGTAGACATTTTCATAGTCTTTAAGAAAGGCAGAAGGTCTTGAAAAGTTATCCTTGCTGACTAAAGTGTAAGTTAATGGTTGGAATTTGACCTCTGACAGTATCATGGAGACCAAAGCTGTCATCAGGGTTTGCTTTCCTGGCAATGTAGAAAGGAGCTGCTTTTTTCTTTCATGCTCTGGTCATTGTTGTCCCTTCAGGATGTTGTTAGGACCCATGGTAACAGCTCAGTTACTTTTTTTTATGATGCCTCCAAATATGATTTGGCTCATTATCCAATTATTAGCTGTTGCACCTTCAGAAACTTAAGAAGAACTGGCTTCACAATGTTAAGAAAATTGAACTGCCCCTAAGATCAGTTCTGTTTAGTCTTCCTTAAAAAATTAGTTGTTAGACTTTTACATATTTTTATTGTTGTTCTTATTAGAATCACTTTTACAAAAGCTACTGTTGAATATCAAAAAGAAGTTATAAGGCTCTTAAAAGAAAATCTTAGAAAAAACCAACAGGCCCAGGAAACTTCAAGTAAGTGAAAAATGCAATTTTTTTTTCATTTTTTTATTGTGATTTGGGTGAATGTTTACAGAGCAAATTCATTTTCCATGCAACAGTTATATTTTGTTTCATGACATTGATTGCAATCCATACATGTAACTGCTCAATTCTCACTTCCTCCCTGTGGCTACCCTTTTCTAGCATCCTTCTTTCCCATGCATTCCTGCCCTCTGAGTTATCTTCCTGTGCAAATATTGCCCTTCTGATCTCCCTTGGTTGATTGTTCTAAGGAGTGTAGCCACCTGGTGTAAATGTTCACCCTATACGCCTGTCTGTTGTTTGGCTGGTACCCACAGGAGTAAGTTCAATTCCAGGCCCGAAGGGTGACCAGGAGTCATAGTTTCAAGGGTTTCACCTGTCTCTATCAGACTAGTAAGCCTCGTCTTCTTTATGGAAAGTCCAAATACTTTTAGATCCTTTCCATTTTACATCTCAGTGTATTTATACATTGTAAAGATTGCAATTATATATGTGGTAGTCAAGAGTAAACTTGAATTAACCACTACTTTGGAAAGAACTTTTTTAAAATGAATTCACTGGGATCATATTTATCTTGTGGCATCTCCTTAGTTTGCTAAAGCTCCAACTGTTTATCCATTATAGAATCTTGAAAAGTATGAATTTTGTTTTTGCATTATCAGATTTTTTATATTATTTGAAGATATCTTCACACTTTAAAAGAATGACTTTACTATCAAAGTAGAAGTAACCCTTCCCGATAAAAATACAAACACATTTCTTAATAGATTTTAACTATATGCAGTTACTAAATTATAATCTGTACACAGTTAAAATAAGTAAACATATATTCATTGTTCTTAATATCAAAAATACTGAGTTGATGCTTCTTTGCACAACTCTTTGAATTGATTTTAGATACAGCTTTTAGGTCTAATGGTCAAATTTCTGCATATACATTCTTCACACTATACTTGCATCCATGTTTCTGTCTCTCATGTTTCATTTGAAAAGAGAATGCTAGAGAATATGAGGAACAGGTTTGTGTAGGAGAACTAAAGTCAGGGGCCTGAGCTTTCAACTGACTGCCCTTGCTTAATGGTTTTGTGGAATCAAGGTGACATCATCTGACCTTCTAGTTTACGTGTTTGTTGTGAGAATCAAACCAAAGATGTGTGTGAAAACATGAAAATGCTAACTTCCACATAAATGTAAGATGATATTTGCATGTGTTATTGCCTATGTACTTCTTTTAAAAAATAAAGTAGAGTGGGAGTAGTAGCAGTGTGGCTTGAACTTCCCTCGTGTCTGTTGTAGGATAATCACAGCTCTTACCTGTAGAACATCAAGGGCTAAAAATAGAACCAAGGATTCTTTGTTGTTGAAATGTTAGCTTAATTACTCTTGATTTGTAAGTGACCTTCAGGTATATGTTGTACCTGCACTCAAAATTTAGATATCTCACCCAACCCTGCCCCACTCTTCTTTCTTAAATCACCAGGAACTTCCTAACCTAGTGGATTATTTTACTTCACAGGCACCTCACATTTTTATGCAACTTTACCTGCAGTTTATAAAACAAAGTCCCTTACGTTACTTTTACACACATAGTCTAGAATACTTAATAATATATGTTTGTTTTTTTAACATTGACTGTTTCTTTATTGTCATGAAAGGGGGCAGTAGTTCTTACTACAGTATATGAAGATATGCTAGTACACTATGTGTTGCCATTAGTTAGAATTATGCTAAAGTTTGTTGTTGTTTTATTGTGAAAAATTATATAACAAACATTTGCCAATGCATCTATTTTACATGCACAATTCAGTGATATTGATTACATTAATCATGTGCAACCCTCACCACTATCCATTTCCAGATTTCTCCATCACCAGTGATTAACAGAAACTCAGTACCCCCTATGCAAAAACTCCTCTTCTCCCCTTCTCTCCCACCCCTGGTGACCACTAATAAACTTTGGTCTCTATCCATCTGTCTGTTTTATATAAGTGGGATTACAGAATATCTGTTCTTTTGTGATGGACATTTTTTCACTCAGCATAATATGTTCAAGATTCATCCATGTTGTAGCATGTGTCAGGGCTTCATTTCTTTTTATAGCAGATTAACACTCCATTGTACACATATGCCATGTTTTGTTTGTTCATTTGTTTGTTTGCTTTTCTAATCCATTCATCTGTTGGTGGACATTTGGTAGTTTCCACCTTTTGACTATTGTAAACAGTACTGCAATGAACATTTGTGTACAGTTAATATATGCTGCAATATTCTAAGGCTTACTTAGTTAACAAATGTATGTTGAGTACTTATAATGCACTGACTAACTCTGAGGATTGAAATACACCCTAGAAACACACTCCTAGATAGAGAGGACAGAGCATTGAAGGACTGCCCTAACTGAGAGGGCTTTTACTGCAGTCATGGGAAAGATCTTAGTGACCTGGATTATGGTAATGGACTAGGGGTGTAGAGAAGCATTTGGATTCTAGATGTATTTTGATTTGATGATCAGTTAGGCACAGGAGGTGAGGGTGAAGGAAAAGTCCAGGATGACTTCCAAGGACATGGTGATTAGGATGTTTTGGGTTTTATAGTAGCTTGTTACATTTAGTAATAATTCCTTTATTTTGACCTTGGGAAACAATTAAACATAAGACTTATTTGCTTCCCACAGTGATATCAGAAAATGTTGATTCTCAGCCATTAAATAAAGCCATAACCTGTGGAGGTGGCAGCGGGATTGTACAAAGCACAAAAGTTCTAATTTTGAAAAGTGAACATATGAAACTAGAAAGTGAAGTTTCTAAGTTAAAGCAGAAAAATGAACAGCTAATAAAGCAACAGAATGAGCTGTTAAGGTAAGATCTGCTTACATGCTAGAGCTATCATGCCTGTGGCTATTCCATGTTGAGGGGGTAGTATATGCACATACATATATATGTTTTTGCAGTTGGCAACCCTTCACATTATGGGGAAAGTAATTTTTAGACCTTATGTAATAGTGTCTTTTTTGAAAGAAATAAGGCTGTGTTAAAACTATTCTAGATGTCTGCTTTCCAGGAACTGACCTATTTTTAACTCAGCTAAGAACCAGGAAGTAAACAAAGAAATTGAAGGATCAGCTTAAATACAGTTAGAGGTCAATATACCCTAGTCAATGAGGTTTTATTCAAAAGAGAACCCCATAAGTCCATTATCCTAGCCTACTTACTTATACCTTATAATCAATGCTAATAGACTTACTTGGCTTTTCAGCCTATGAAAGATTAGAATCTGTGCAAAGCAGTGACTTGAGATGCAGTGGAAGAAAGGTTGGCATTAAACAATTATATAAATACTACCTGAGTGCTATTAATAAAACTAAGTAGGACATTATGAGAGAGTATTTTAGAGGGATCTAACCTTATCTAGATTTGTGTGTTGGGGGAGGAGGGATGATAAGAAACTAATATATGAGAGTAAATCTAAAAAATTAGTAGGAATTAGGCTAGATGAAAGGAAAGAGGGAGAAGTCTTCTAGGCTGAGGTCTAGGCTTTGAATTGGGATAAATAACCTGTTGGTGGAACTGGGAGATGTCTAGTGTCCAGGGTGTAGAATTTGAAACAACAGTATGGTACAAAGTGAGATGCCAGAGATAACTGGGTCGAGATTACATAAGCCTTATGGATCGTTGTTAGGAAGTCATATGGCATCCAAAATGTAATAGAAAGCCAGTGGAAGATTTTAGGCAGGGCCCTGAGAAGCTCAGATCACATCTTGGCTGCTAGCATGTTATAGGGAAACTCAATTAGGAAGCTGTTTATGATAGTTCAGGCAAAAATATTTTGGCATGGAATAGAGTGGTGCTGAAGAAGCTAGAAATAAGGAGATGAATTTGGGAGATGGTTATGAAGTTGTATCAACAAACTTGGCTGACTGTTAGAATTAAGGAGAGAGGACTCTAGGATTACTTCCCAGGTTTCTGTCCGGTGGCAGAATGAATGGTGGTGGCAATTAATTTATGAAATTATTGTAGCAAAGTAGCATTAGATAAGCCATTCTGGATATCATTAATTCATTTGAAAACTTAATATCATATTCTAAGCTTTCTTTTCAAGACTGTCGTCAAGGGAATTTACTGCAACTCCTCAATTGATATAGACCCATTTCATTTTCTGAACTGTGGAAATTGTCCAAAGAAGAAACATTAGGTAGAAATGTAAATGCAATGTGACTGTATGTCAGGAATTGAACAATCTTACAGTCTACTTTTTCCCCCCACATTTAAGCAACAATCGTCGTCTTTCTAAAGAAATCAAAGCGTGGAAGGATAGAACATTTAAAAGAGAAGCTCATAAAGAAGTTATTTGTGAGAATTCCCCAAAGTCTCCTAAAGTGACTGGAACACCTTCTAAATATAGACAAAATACGCCTTCACAACGTAAGGAAGAGAATTTACAAGATCCTATCCCAAAGGAGTCGCCAAACTCTTGGTTTTTTGATAGCCGATCAAAGTCTTTTCCAACAGCTCATCCAGTTCGCTATTTTGATAACTCAAGTTTAGGCCTTTGCCCAGGTAGGTAAATACAGTGATTACTTTGGTAAAGATTTTAACTCATGTATAATATGTGGCCCCTAAGGGCAAATTTAAACGAGAAGTAATTGAGCAAGTGACAGTGCTCAGGCTTCATTTGCTGTCTGTCCCTGTGTGAAAAGTCAGTGTCTCCAAAGCACAGCCCTGGAGTGCACTCCCTTTTTACTCCATGTGAAATCTTTATTCTGCCTCTTAAACCCTCAGCTTTTCTCCTAAAATAGTAGAGAAGTGTCTCTGATGAGAAAGACACTACCCTATAAACTATTTTACTAAAAAAGCTTTTCTTACCAGTTCCATGGGTCAGCATTACCTATATACCATTATATTCGTTTTACATGAACCAGATCATAGACTTGCATCACTTACTTATTCACTATTCATTCAATCCACAAATATTTTTTTTAGCTCCTAGTATGCATCAATGAGGAGTAATTCTGGTGGTGTAGTGCCTAAGGCATTTGACTGCTAACCAGAAAGTTGGCGGTTCAAACCCACCAGCCACTCCATGGAAGGAAGGCTGGGCAATCTACTTCCATAAAGATTTACTGCCTCGGAAACCCAAAGGGGATCACTTGAGTCAGAATCAGTTTGATGGCAGTTTGTTGTTGGTTTATGCATCAGTTATTAGACACTGATGGTACATTGATAAGCAAAACCAGGCATGATCTCTGTCCTCACAGAGCTGACAGTCTAATGGAAGATCCAGACCTTAATATAAGTAAAACTGCAGGGTTTAAAAGACTATGAGGGCATATAGTAATGTTTTAGGAATATTGAATATGCCTTCCTTGAGGAAGAACTGAAATCCAGAGTTAGCTAAACAAAGAGGAGCAGGAAAAGCATGCCAGGTAGATGGAACAGTGACAGCTCTGGGGTAGAAGGAAGCATGACCAGGAGAGGGGTTTGGGCCCCAGCACAGTGAGGTCAAGCATGGGTGGGTGGAGTCAGAGAGGCCACAGAAGGAGGTAAGAGCCAGACATGTAGGACTTTAGATTGGAGAAAGGAATTTTTACTTTATCCTGAAAGCATTTAGAGGCAGCCTTTGAAAGAGTTTAAACAGTGGGCAGGGGAATATGATGAGTTATAAATTTTGCAAATCATCTCAGCTGTGGAGTAGCCAACAAATAATAGGGGGAATAGTTTATGGCAGTTGTCTAAGCAAGACATGCTGGTAGCTTGGACTCAGGCAGGTGCAGTAGAGATGGGGAGATTTTGGAGAAGAATCAGCAGTGCTAAGTTCTGCAGGGTACTGTTCACAGAGGCAGGAAGGACTGTAGGGAAAGCTAGGTAGCATCCTGTTCCTTGTTGTTTTTCTCACCATAAAGCACTTACTGCATGCCTAGGTGTGTATGGTCCCCGGCTTAAGGCTGTTTAAAAAGAATTATTCAGCTGCAGACTTTTGTGACAGTGTTTCTACCTGCTAGAAATACTGTATTATGCAACTACTGAATTCTGAAGCAACAAAATTGTACACTAAGCTTCTAAGTCATTTAAAGCTATAAACAAAGATTGCCAAGGTTTATGAGTGCTCTACTTTGTGATTAAAATGAAATCAATCCTTTCATGTTATTACACATTGAAATCAGATCACCTTGGCAGCCTGAAAGTGCTCTTAGGGACATAGTAAGGCACAAAGCCATTTGGAAGCAATATGTTTGAACTGCTCTTTTCACTGAAATATTTTAGTACCTTCCCTTGTCTAGGGCCTTATGCAGAATTTTTGCTACACATACACCACACATCATATTTTAGGAGTCTCAAAAACTGAGAAACCTTTATAATCACCTTTTATTTATCTGATGGTGGCAGAAGTGTAAGTGTAATATGAATTAAGGCAACTGCAAATAAAAATGCCTACATCTTTTTTTACCAATGTATGGATCTGTCTGGCAGATTTATATTTTGTTAAGATAAATTAGAGTAGGCTGGAAGTATCCATAAATCAAAAACCAACCCAGAATTAAAGAAAATAGTTCCAGCTTAAATTAGTAAGAATATTAATCCAGAAAATTCTCAATGTTTACTTTGAATTATAAAAAGTAAATTACCTCAGCAAATTAAGATAATTGCCAAGACCAGTTATGTTAGATTAACTTTTATGAATATAGTAACTTGAAAATGAACATTGTTTATAAATACTGCTTGAAATGTTTTTTAAAGGTTTTTTAAAGAAAGTTTTCCAAAGATGACTAAATATTCTCTTATCTGTATACTATTTGTGTAGCACACCTTTTTTCCCTCTAAAAATAGGAAAATCCAGCTAAATTAGTCCATGCTTGATTCACTTTGAATCTCTGATGAATTTAAAATAAGCTTTTATTCTTTCTTGTATAAAATGGTTTCCTAGCACAAATAGTTGGTTTTGACGATGAACCCCTCGTATAAAACAAGACTTTGGATTTTCATTTTTTCTTAATCACTTACATTGATGATGCATTTTCTGAGAGAATGGAAAATAAACTTCTCAAAATCTGATGAAGTGAAATACCCTTTTTTAGTGATCAGATAACAAACTAATGACCACATTGCCATTTTTCACTCCTTTTATCTCTCCTCTCTTTACTTCTTTTCCCCTCCAGCTCTGCTTGGTTTTGTGTGTGTGTGTGTGTGTGTGTATTTTTTTAATAGAATTAATTTTGGGTTTCTTTCCTTTCTCAGAGGAACACACAGTGGGAGCAGAAAATGTGGACCCTCAGTCTGGTTCTTGGCACACCTCTTCCGGAAAAGATGTGCCTGAATGCAAAACCCAGTAACTCCTCTGCTGTCACTTGCCTGGGGGCCAGCAGTCATTGTTTGGAAATGACCATGTTTGCCATTTTGTGTGTCTCTTCTTGGCAAAGATGTCACAGTCCAACTTAATTCAGTGTTCACTTCACCACTAGAATAGGAAATTCATTCATTCCAGTAATTTAGAATAGTAATGTCAATGCCGTGTTCTTGAATGTGGTTTAATGCTTTGGAAGCTGAAAGGTTTTATTTATTTATATATTTTGTAAAGAATAAAGTTATTGATGGAAATTTCCAGTCTTTCCATGTATGCATTCTATGTATACATTTTTATTAATGTAAAGTTATCCACATATTACTTGTGTAATTCCAAAGCATAATGCATAAATTAATATAAAACATTTAATTAACAAAATTATAAACTCCTCTTTTAATACCTTGTACATTCAATAAATGTTTCCTTAGTAGTTCTGAATCATCATCTCTGTGTAATATTAATGGTTCCTTGGTGGGGTGGTAGGGTATGTTTGGCTCTCCTCTCATTGAGTTTCAAGATTTTACTATGAACATGTGTGCATGCTTTCTGAATTTAATCGTTAAAGGATAACAGGACCTGTGTACTTAACTCTCTACTCCTACTCTTGTTTTGGTGTCATAACTATAAGAGTTCTTTCTCATTGTTCTGTTATATACCCACCACAGACCCAGTACAAGCACTCAATTGGTTTGTTACTAGGCTTCATTCTGCTCCACCCCACTCCCACCCAAAAAAACCTGAGATTATTGGTTCTGCCTCCTTCGTTTTAGGCATGAGGAAGCAGCCTCAGAGTTTCTGTCAGAGTATGGTTTCCAAAACCTGGGATCCCCACGGATACTTAGGGCACCCATGGCTGGACTTCATGAGGTCTGTAAAACTGAAATTTCATGTGAACTTCTGTCTATGGATTTATTTTTTCAGAATACTAAGCTCCATACTTATATTCTCAGGGCATCTGTGACCCTATAAAAGGCTAAGAACTATGCTTTTTGAGAGTATCCCTATTTTACTTTTGCATCATCTAACAGAAACACCACACACACACACACACACACACACACAAAAGTAAGTTGCATTAAGATTATTCAACAGAGGTAAAATGATGTTGAGGTATCCTTGACTCTTTGTTAAGAAAATTCATTCAAAGGAAGAGATTATGGATTGCATAATACCTATCATTCCAGACTCTCTGGATTGGGTATTAAACCTTATCCTAACATACTATCACAAGCATTCACTAGGGCTAAGACCTATCCCTTGGTCTTGTTTCTCCATTCCACCCTGGCCCAAGAATCACACTTTAGCAGAGCTACAGGTCTGATTCATTGCAATGTCTGCTCCTCTTCCGAATTAAAGAGTGACCCAAAGTTATTGGCTAATGTGGTAGGTAATGTGTGTCAACTTGGCTGGTCCTGGTTGAGTAGCTAGGCAGCTGGATGTAGTATTCCCCATGATGAGACTGGTAATTAACTCCATGGTGGTATCTACCATGAGCAGCTGAGTAGCTGCCTTAGGGATGCAGTCTGCTTCCTGTGTATAAGGAGAAGCCCTGGGGAAAGGTCTCTAGTTTATGGCATGCTTGAACCCTGCTTGTAGCCGTGTTGTTCTTCAGCAGCCTGCCATGATCTGCCAACCCTGGGACTTTAATTAATGGCCTGCCGTGTTGTTTGGTAACCTCGGGACTGTGCCTTTTTACTTTTCAACCGTGGGCTTGTCAGTCTTGGTGGCCAACAGCTGTCTGAGTGAAGAAAAGCCACAAGTTTCAGTGGGCCAGGAGCAGAAGGCCGAGCTGAAGCCCAAAGTTCAGGGGCTTTCATGCAACCCCTAGAACCTGGCACTTTGAACTCAGACTTAAAGCCTCCAGACTGTAAGAAAATAAACTCCTGTTTGTTCAAGCCACCCCATTTGTGCTATATTCCTGTCAGAGTGGCACTAGGTAACCAGAACAGCTAAATTCACCTGGATAGTAAAACTAAGACCATTGAAAATGTAGTAGCTGTTAGGTATCCAGTTCTTAGCTCATGAACTGAGTTTCAATATTGTGAATGATTGTCAAGGATTAATAATAAAGCCAATAATGGAAGCCAACAGTGTTAAATTAAAAAAAAGAAAAAAGACAGAAAGCAACAGTGTGAGCAGTTGATGTTCAAAAGATCTGAAAAGTCAGGACCAGAGGAGACAAAATATGAAATTATTGCTCATGTTTTTGTTAGTTGCCATTGAGTCAGTTCTGACTTACAGCGATGTACAGCAGAACGAAACACTGCTGGTCCTGCCCCATCCTCACCGTCATTACCCTGCACAAGTCCATCTTTGCAACCACTGTGTCAGTCTATTTCATTGAGGGTTTCCCCTTTGTCACTGACTGTCTACCAGGTGTGATATCCTTCTCCAGGGATTGGTCCCTATGACAACATGAGCAAAGTACAAGACGACATCTAGCCATTCTCACTTCTAAGGAGCATTCTTGCTGCACTTCCTTCCAAGACAGATTTATTCGTTCTTCTAGCAGTCCATTGCAGGAGCTCTGGTAGCATAGTGGCTAAGACACTTGCCTGCTAACCAGACGGCTGGCGGTTCAAACCCACCAGCCACTCCTCGGAAGGAAGGTTGGGCAATCCTACTTCCGTAGTGATACTGCCTCGGAAACCCAAGGAGGGGTCGCTATGAGTCGGGGCCTACTCGACGGCACATAACAACAACAACAACAACAAGCAGTCCATTGTACATTCAATATTCTTTGCCAGCACCACAACTCAAATGTATCAATTCTTCTGTGACCTTCTTTATTCATTGCCCAGCTCTCATATGCATATAAGGCTTTTGAAAATATCATGGCTTGGAAATATGTTATTGAGATACTGCTACTAAGCAAATATTTAATGGACACCTACTGCATGCTGATAACTGGTCAAGACACTGCAAGACACTGTCTTCTTGGAATTTGTAGAGGGAAGAATGATAAGTGCCTAGCCTTAAAGAATGCAGTCTAGTACCTATACAGATGGGTGACAAATACCCACAATATCATGTGACTTAAGTGACTTGGGTGATATTCAAATAAGCATTATTGTTAAGAATCAACATGGGAAGCTGAAGAAAACTGCATTAAGGAAGAAAGGAATATTGGAGTTAGTCTTGATTACAGAACACTTATACCTTATATTCATATTAACCCTATTCTGAAATCCTCAAAATTCAAAGGAAAGGCATTGTTATTAAAGCCAGGATGAGATTACAGATCATTAGACACACACTACAGTGGGGAGCAGGGGACAATTTTACCCAAAACCTCACTTGGGCACATGCACAAGCTAAGCTCAAGGTCGGGGGGGGATTTTTAAATCATATATTATACATCTCTATGTATATGTGTGTGTGTGTGTGTGTATACACACACACACACATAAACACAGAAAATATATATATTTGTTGTTGTTGGTATGTGCCGTGGAGTCAGCCCAGACTCATAGTGACCCCTCCTTGGGTTGCCGAGGCAGTATCATTATGGAAGTAGATTGCCTCATTTTCCTTCTGAGGAGTAACTGGTGGGTTTGAACCGCCAGCCTTCTGGTTAGCAGTCAAGTGCCTTAGGCACTATGCTACCAGAGCTCCTATATATATATTTTTTTTATCTTCCATAAAAATCATCACTAACATTTATTGAGTACATACATTTTGAGTATCCAACATGGTACTGATGGTTTCACATGCTGAATTTTTCTTCCTCACATCCCTTCATCTTACATCTTGAGTTTAGAAAGTTAAATGACTTATTTAACTAGTGAGAGAAAGATCTAGGACTCATTCAAGATTTTCTGACTGTGTGTACACTGTGATTGTTAGGAACAGGCTTAGTTGTAAGTAACAGAAAACTTGAAAAGCAATGATCTAAAAAGGACTTCATTTTTTTCTTTTTCTTTTTTTTAATTTACTTTGATTGTGCTGAAAACATACATACCAAGACATTTACCACTATAACAACTTCCAGGGACATTGATGACATTGTTCATGTGCTACCATTATTACTATCCTTTTCCAAAATATTCCACTACCATTAGCATGAACTCAATGCCCCACTAACAAAAGGTACTCTTTCTCCCTCCCTCCCACCTCTGGTAATTGCTAATAGTCTGGTTTATATATATTTATTTTTGGTTTATTACCAAACTCACTGCTGTCAAGTCAATCCCGACTCATAGCGACCCCTCCTTGGGTTTCTGAGGCAGTATCTCTATGGAAGTAGATGGCCCAACCTTCCTTCCAAGGAGTGGCTGGTGGTTAGCAGTCAAATGCCTTAGGCACTAGGCCACCAAGCTTCCATATATATTATTTTGGTATATATATATTCAGTATATTTTTTTTCTTTTCTTTTTTTTTTTTTAACCTCCCTTCCCCTCCCATCCCTGGTAATCAACAAAAAAAAAGAACTTCTTTTCGTGTATAACCTTTTCTTTGACTTTTTACAATAGTGCACTAATGCTGTATTTGTCCTTCTGTGATTGACTTATTTCACTCAGCATAATGTCCTCCAACTTCATCCACATTATGTGGATTCTACATTATTCTTCAGTGTTGCATAGTATTCCATTGTGTGTATTATCACAGTTTTGTTATCCATTCCTCCACTGGTGGGCACTTAGGTTGTTTCTATCTCTTTGCTATCATGAATAGTGCTGCAATGAACATGGGTGTACATGTATCTATTTGTGTCCTGGTTCTCACTTCTTTAGGATATATACCTAGTAATGGGATTGCTGGATCAAATGATGTTTCTATTTCTAACTTTTTAAGGAATTGCCATACTGATTTCCACAGTGGTTGTGTCATTTTATAGTCCCACCAGCAGTGTATGGGATGTATGGGAGCTCTGGTGGCGTAGTGAGTAAGGCGCTTGACTGCTAACCAGAAGGTCAGCAGTTCAAACCCACTAGTTGCTCTGTGGAAGGAGGACGGAGCAATCTACTACTGTAAAGATTTACAGCCTTG